AGTAGGAACAGCAGCAGCTTCTTCTTCAGTCTGAGAGACAGAAGAAAAATACATGAACGCTCACAAATTTGACAAGGGCCCATGGAACATCCCTGGATCCTCCAGGTTCTATTCAAATCAGTAAAGGCCCAACTCAGGTTAGTTAGAGATGGTGATGCCTAGTTCTTGGAAGTCTTCAGATCCACATAGATTACTTCCTTACCAAAAATTTTAGCACATGCTCATGTCTTCTCCTACTTACCTTGATTCTTTCCTGCAGAGGCACCTGGTTCTCTTTCTCTGTGTCTTGCTTCATGGAAGAGGGATTTAGCCCATCAGATCTCATCTTTCCCAGCCACTGGATGTTAGTGAGACTATTGTCCAACACAGAGCTCATTGTCTCACCACTGCCTGTTGGGATAACAAGCCCATATTACAGAGCCACAGAATCATTTAGGTTAAAAAAAGACCTCCAAGATCACTGAGTCCTTTCTTTGACCAAACACCACCTTGGCAACCAGATTATGGCACTCAGTTGCGACCAGTTGTTTCTTGAACACCTTCAGGGATGGTGACTCTACCATTTCTCCTGGGAGCTTGTTGCAACACTTGACACCCCTTTTAGGGAAGCAATTCTTGATGATGTGCAACCTGAACCTCCCCTGGCATGGATTAAGGCTATGTTCTCTCATCCTGTCACTAGTTGCCTGGGAGAAGAGGCCAACTCCCGCCTGGCTACAACCTCTTTCAGGTAGTTGTAGGGAGCAATAAGGTCTCCCTTGAGCCTCCTCTTCTCCAGGCTCAACAAACCCAGTTCCCTCAGCTGCTCCTCATAGGATTTACACTCTAGACCCTTCCCCAGATTTGTTGCCCTTCTCTAGACACACTCCAGCGCCTCAAAATCATTCTTGTAGTGAGGGCCCAGAACTGGACACAGCACTCAAGGTGCGGTCTCACCAGTGCCAAAAACAGGGGGAAGATAACTGCCCTGGTCCTGCTGGACACACTACTTCTGACACAAGCCAGGATGCCATTGGCCTTCTTGACCCCCTTGGCACACTGCTGGGTCACGTTCAGCTGCTGTTGACCAGCACCCCTAGGGCCTTTTCTGCTGGGTAGTTTTTCAGCCACTCTTCCCCCAGCCTGTAGGACTGCATGGGATTGTGACCAAAGCGCAGGACCCCTTAGTTCTGCTTACTTACAAGTAACCCTCTTAACCCTTCAACTCAACTGTCAAAAGGAAGGCACTTAGTCACACTAGTAGAAGATGGTATTGCAATGCTAATGTAACGGAAGGAATTACTCTTGAATTCCTGATTTTATGTGAAGTTGCCCTATTTCTGGAAAGAGCTGCAGCCTTAAAAATGAGCACTCAAACCAGACTACTGCTTTCAACCAAAACAGGACAAGGTTGATCTGGTGCTTCAAGGATATCATTAGCTAAAGGATGAATTTAGTAAGCGGAAGCCAAGGGTGGTGATGACAGACTTTAACTGAAAAACGTAGCACAAGACCCAAGTCAAAAGCACAGATGTCTTCCATCAAAAATTTATGCACTGTGATCCTTCAGATTTCATTAGATATGCAAAGCTATGTAGATTATTAGAATAAAATCTATAGAGTATTTTGTAATTAACAAAATATTATTTGTTACTGTGTACTGAGATTCAAGCACTACACTCATTGGCCCACTTCACATCTCTTTGTCCGTCAGAACAAAAAAACCAACCAACCAACCATCCAAAAACTGGTAAAGACTACATACTGTTGCTCTCCTGTTCCTGTCCTGCCGCAGAATCAACTCCTGAATGCCAGAGCATTGTCCTGCCTGCAAGACCAGGCGTCTGTGTAACATTCTTCTCTCTTTCTTGACCATCTGCAGCCTTGACTGCTGCACTGGCTTTCTTCTCTGGTGGGAGATGCTGTGATGGTGCTGGACCTGCTGAACGGGACGTGCCCCCACTGCTAATGAGGATGAACTTGTTGGGTCCATTGTTGCCACATTCTTTTCCTTTTGCCGTCAGTGCCTCTATGATGCTCTGGATATCAGCATTTGTAGGGATGGCCACCACTTGTGTGTTGGGCATTGTAGGATGGTCAATTATCTTTATTCCCGCTGGGAATTTCTGCAGGCCACAGTCCCTTTTGTCTCTAGGTTGTCTGTTGTGTTGGTCCTCCTGGCTGTGCTCCTGCTTGGGAGTCTTTTCATTCTGACCTCTGCTCTCATCTCTTGCTGAAGTGCTGGATTCATCCTTCTGTGGGAGGGTCAGTTTCCGTCTTTTGAGAATTAAGGGCCTGCGAGGGCTGGTCCTCATTATTGATCTATACTGTCACTCTCCATTGAAAGGGAGAAGAACAAACCCTGAAAAAACAAAAGATACAACATAAAGAGTGCAGCAAATCATCACGGGCCTCCCACAGAGCACACATTCTCAGCAATTGCTACAAAGCCAAAAACACAAAAGGGAAATAAAAATCGAAAGTGTGTAATAAGGTCAGCAAGGCTACTGAAAATATATACTGTACCTCCTTTACCCGCACCTTGTGTAAGCAGGACAGGAGAGATACTTGCACAATAGATAATTTGCATCACAAAGTACATAATAATGAGGAAAGTGTGTATTTGCACTTTAAAGAAAGACTCAGATATAATGTGATGCGGCCAGCATCAGCCAGTAAGCAGGAATGGAGAGAAAGTAGAACATAGAAGTAGCAGTCCCAATTCTTATAGAATATTACACAACCTGAGTGAAAAGAGAATTTACTGATGGTTTAAGATCTAGCAAGAAGAGATTATCCCAAACACTACAAAAGCACGTAATAAATGCAGCAGAAGTTAGGTGCTTTAATATAGATGTGAAGTAAATGCTCTAGTCCTTCTTTCTGTAGATTTGTCAAGTACTAGATAAACTCCTCATTAGGTAGCATACCTTTAAATGTCAAACTTTTCCACAACAGGCAATTTAGAATATAAAGTAGGAAGCAGAGGAAATAAAATTCGTAGATACTGCTTCCAGGGTAAGATGCAGTGAGAATACTGCCATATTATAATGCCATCAAGAATTCGGTGGAACCTGTGTCTTTCAGCAAACTATAACAGAACGAGAACACACAAATGATAAACTTCCTGTTTATCATTAGGTATGCCGGGCAGAATACAAACAAATAACAAAAAAACCCCAAAGATACAAAACAAAACAAAACAAGAAACAAAACCACCAAAATAAAAAACAAAACAAAACAAAACCCCCAAACCCAACACAACAACAAAAAAAACCCCACACCAAAAAAAAAAAAAAAAAAAAGAGGCCTTTTAGATTGCTAGATTGGACCGGACCAACAGGCAAACGAGAAAATTGTCAGTAAGAATCACCTACATTGATACAAAGCAGACAGTCCAGCGGATAACAAACCGAGCTGCCCTACGCGCAGGGATCAGCCAGCCCCGGGATCAGTAGCTGCCCAGTAGCGATGGGAACGCTCCGCACTCCATGCGGGCCGTGGCACACATGCACACGCATGGCCTTTTGCGATCTGCTCCACCCCCCTAAAGAGACATCCCAGTTAGACAGCGCCCAAAGAGGAGCCTGTAGCCAGCCTCCAACAGACTGCCTTCCCCACAGGAGCGCGCCACTTCCCAAACAGGCCTGGAGCTGCTGCCACCGGTACAGGCCTAGGAGCGTTCCCGTACACGCAAGGCCCCAGGGGCGGTGAGAGGGGCGGTACTGAAGCGCTCCCCGCTGCTCCTCCGCCCGCTGCAGCCCTAGCTCCGCCGCGCCCGCCGTTCAGTCCGCCTGCCCCGCCGGGGTCCCTCCGCCCCAGGCCGGGCCTAAGCGCTTCCCTCTCTCGGCCGCCCTACGGTCTTAGCGGGGCCCCCCGAGGTTGGCAGCCCTTGCAGAGGGACACTAGAGGCGAGGCAGGCGCAGGCAGGGACTCACCAGCTGCCGGGCGGGCAGGGCCGATGGAAGCGGCAGCAGCTCCGGCGCTCCCGGGGCCGCCCCGGTTTGAATTTGGCGCCCGGCGGGGCCCGGGCCTGGTCACGTGCAGGCCTGGGCCAGTGAGCGGCGGCGGGGGCGGGGCGGCCCAGCGGCGGCCAATGGGCGGCGGCGGGGGCGGGGCGGCGGCAGCGCGGGCCAATGGGCGGCGGCGGCGGGGGATACGGCTGGGCCGGCGGTTCGCGGCGGGCCCGAAGGGTCGGGCCGGGTCGGGTCGGTACCGGGGCCCCAGCGCTCCTCCTGCCCAGTCGTGTCCCGGGAGAGCCGCCCCGACTGCGGCAGTCCCCGGAGCTCCCTCCAGCCCCGCCGCTTGGGAGCCCTGCTCTGTGTTCGGGTCGCTGGCCGCGCGTTGACCCCTGACGAAGAGCCCCGGAATTTCGCCGTTTAACGTGTGCCACGGCCGTACCGGGCTACGGGGGCCTGCAGGACGCCCCGAGGAGGCTGCGCCTTTGGTAAGCAGGCAGGACGTTGAATTCTTATGCATCTCTCCTAAAATGTTCTTCTTGGAGTTCCTGTTCTGAGCTTGCCTGCGGTGACTCAGGCCGGCTGAATGTGAGCCAGCAGTGTGCCCATTGGCATCCTGGCCTGGATCAGCAATAGTGTGGCCAGCAGGACCAGGGAAGTGACTCTCCCCGTGTACTCAGCACTGGTGAGGCCACACCTCGAGTGCTGGCCCAGTTCTGAGCCTCTCAGTTCAAGAATGACACTGAGGTGCTGGAGCATGTCCAGAGAAGGACAACAGAGCTAGGGAAGGGTCTGGAGCACAAAAGTTAAGAGGAGCGGCTGAGGGAGCTGGGGTTGTTTAGCCTGGAGAAAAGAAGGCTCAGGCGTGACCTTATCACTCGCTATAACTACCTGACAGGAGGCTGTAGCCAGGTGGGAGCTGGCCTCTTCTCCCCAGTAACAAGTGACAGGACAAGAGGACATAGTGTTAAGCTGTGCCTGGGAAGGTTTAGGTTGCACATCAGGAATAATTTATTCTCAGAAGGGGTGATTAGACGCTAGAATGGGCTGCATAGGGAGGTGATGCGGCCACCATCCCTGCAGGTGTTTAAGGAAAGATTGGATGAGGCACTTAGTGTGATGGTCTAGTTGACATGGTGGTGTTTGGTCATAAGCTGAACTTGATGATCTCAGAGGTCTTTTCCAACTTATTGATTCTGTGATCTGTTTTCCATTGGAAGATTAAATTCAGTGTTGCTTCAATACAAATTTATTCATTACGTAAAAAAAAAAACAACATGCAAGATCTGTAGAATACAGGAAATGTCAACGCTTTTCTGTAAAAAAAAAAAACAAACTAAAAACCTTAAAAGTTTCTGAAATTAAAAAGTATTTAATTAGAAAGGTACTAGCAACTAGAAATGTAAAAACTTACCTTGGCCCTACAGTATATTCTTGGCATTACAAACCAGAGTAAATTGAAAAAAGCAAGCAAATTTTTCTGACTTTTTTTTTTAATAGCTGACTTGATACAGCTGGATCAGTAGGTCAGCTGTTCCAATTCCTACTGTGCATTTCTAAATCTACCTGAAAATCGACAGAAGGTTCAAAAACTACTGGTAGGAAGAAGAAGTCTGCTTAGAAACTTGTACACTCTACTGCTGCACAAATGTTTTGCTTTTGTTAAAACCTAGATCTGAGGTTTCCAAACAAGTCAATCTTCAAATATATTTATTTGCCTTCTACAGAATCGAGAGCACTTCAGCATCTCCTCGGGGTGCTTCCCTCTTTCTCCAACTGGCTCTAACAAGCATCATGAGGTTTCTAAGTGGTTTTACCACACCTTTTGATGCCTCCAAAGAAGAAATGTGCCCACAAGGCCAGGAAGGCTGAGCTGGTATTCCTTGAGAAGCCGTGGGCAGGACCCATCCATTGCTATGAAACTCCACTGCCTTTGGCCCAGAATCCCAGACGTGCGCCTACAAAACCTGTAGACAGGAGCACCTCTGCTGCCTGGGTTGGTATAGATTATCCTTCCCCCTGTGTCCCACAGCCATAATTTTCAAGTTTTCCCCATATGTCTCAACAGAAAGTTACCTGTTCTGGTTACTGAAGAATTAGTAGCCCAGACCTGAATTCATTGTAGCAGCCTAAAATATAAATAAGTGCTTATGTGTTGCTTCACAGTCTAACAGCAACCACTAAGGTCTTGGTTATTTGAAAGTGTAAAACTGTGTGCAGTCTGTACTGGTTAATATGACTACTTCTGGAAAAAGAATTCTTATCAGGAAGATGCTGTTTTCTGTTGCAACTGAAAGCCCTGCATGTAACAAACACAAAGGGGAATTTTATTATTGGCTTGCTGCTCGAAATAACTGCTGAACTCTCAGTGTTACATGTTAAAGTACTAGTTGCTTTCTTTAAATTTGACACTGCTAAATTTAGAGAACATAGGTTTTCACTTCAGGATTATTTGCTCTAACCTGCCCTCTTTTCCATTCTGTGTCTTTTGAATAGTTTCTCTCTATATCAATCTTCTTACGGGCCCCTTTTCTGGTCTGATGGGCTTCTGTTCTGGGACTGTTTGCAGTTTCCTAAGATACTCCTTCTATCACGTAAGGACAGAGTGTTTTTTAAACAAACAGGTGCTGCAATGACAGACTGTTCCTATTCAACAGCAGTCATCACCTAGGGGAGCTCTGTTTAAGCACTGCTGCTGCTCGACTGCTATTCACAAAGCAAGCTCAGGAAGTGTGTTTCAAACCTGCATGAGATTTTCCTTTGTTCCTGGTCACCTGAAGTTATTTTTGTGATGCCTTAACCTTGAAGTAGAACATGTTCAATCTTTTTCATTTTTAACTTTTTTTTGTATGTGCTTGAGGCAATTAGCTCTGTGGCTTCTGAAATACTAAGTAAAATAACTGCTCTGAATAAGCATTCTTTTTGTTTGGAAGAGTTGGAAGTATCTACATCGGTAGCTCCCTGATTCTAAACAAACGATGATTTTAAAATTTGTTTGAAGGGCTGTGGTTAGCTGTTTTTCAGTTTGAAAACTGTGGTAGGTTTGTAACTTCTGGAGGCATCCTCTGCAAAGTGTGTGTCAAACTGTTTGAGTGACAATTGACTTTCTGCTCCTCCCTTCTTGATGTTAGATCTAAGTTTTTCATACCTTCTCGACTGCTTGGCTCCTGCATTGGTAACACCTACCATATGTGCTCTCTGAAGCCAGGAAGTCATATCCTCAAAGTCAGTGACTGACCTGTGTTTAAGTATGTGCCAGGATACAACTATCATGGAACCACTTCCCTTTTCCTGCACAAAGGCTTTGCATTCAAGCAGTTCAGTTGTACAGGGGACAATCGCTATCCTTAATTCAACTGTACTTAGTTTTTTGAGGAACTACGTGGTAACTTTGGAATGCTGAAGGAGATTGAAGTTACCATAGCGAGAACCTGGTTTGGTGTCCCTTGGGAAAAACAAACTGCAATTTGAAACAGAATCTGACTCTTTTTGTTGATAATCAGGAAGATAAAGAACACAGCAAAAAAAGGAATCTTTCTAAGAAATACCGATTGTTGAGCTTGGACTACCTCCTGTAGAAAGCTGATTTTTAGAAGTGGATTTTGGGTAATCTGGGTGTTTTGGGGGCAAACTGTGGATGCTGTATTAACATAATCTAAGGGGACTGAGCTAGCGAGCATCATTTAACCACTCAATTCAACCTCTTCCTGTTCAGGGAGACTGAGGATTTACTTCATTGAATCTATGTGGAGTTATGCTAAGACACAGAAAGAAAAAGGATCCATTTCTGAACTCTTTTAAATGTGCAGGGGTTATAGGAGTAGTCACCAGTTAGATTTCCTTTAAACCCAAACTCTGAGTTCTTTCTAAGTTGCCAGAGAATAGCTCACTTGCACCCCAATGAGTTTTCTGAGAAGAGTGGCAGAATGTGATGTTCGTGAGGCATCTCCTGCATAGCAACTTTAAGTGACTTGCTTTGCAGTAAACCAACTTACTCACATAGTGAACACACTGAAAAAAAGGTGGGGAAGTAGAATCAGGTTGGCATTACTTGTCTGGAGAAAATGGTTGGGTTTTTATCTTATTATTACTTCTTTTCCTTCAGGTATGCCCACAATTTGAAACAGCTAAGCCAGTGGTGTTGAAAGCGTGCCAGAAGAAGCACCGTGGTCCTCACAAGCCCCAGAATCAGGATGCCAACCGCAGTTTGCTTCATGCAGGAGGACCTTGTCGAAGAGCTGCAGCCTGCAAATTTCCTCCTTTAACTTTTGAGAATTTAGAAGGACATGCAGGCCACCCCTTGGATCATCCAAAGCACTCAAGGAAGGACACAGAGTGTTCTCACAGCCAGCTCAAGAAAGGGACAGCAGCAAATGCCAATATCCAAGTGCAGGGTCCAGAGAACTGTAGAGAGCCTGCTCTCCAGCCTGTGGAGCAAGAAGCCTTTAGTCTACCAGATGCAGACGCTCCACAGGTGCCTTCCCTAAGGAACTGGAGGTGCAGCAATACTCTGTCACAAAGTACAGACACCTGGCATCCAGAAAAAGAGTTGGCATTTGGTATTGATCCCTGTGGGAGAGGGAAGTCGGCAGCAGTGCTGGTTACAGATACTCCCGAACATGAATATGGAGTAAAGGTCACTTGGAGACGGCGGCCTCACCTCATGAAGTACCTGCGGGAGCGAGGGAAGCTGAGCGCTGCCGACATCCTGGTGAAGGCAGACTTCGAGCTCTCGCAGAGACAGGCCAGCGCCTGAGCCGGCGGGAGCGGCACCTCCGCTGCGTGCGGGGACACGCCCGGACGGACGATGGCACTGCGGCGGCTGAGGACATGGGCCGGGCGGGAGCGCCTTGGCGACGGGGCTGTGTTGGGCCGGGCTTCCTTGGGGAAAAGTGTGTCTGCAATGGGGAGCGTTCCTGAGGAGAGCCCTATGATTTCCGCGGCTCCGCGCGGGGGCCGCTCCCGCCACCCCGCCGGAGGCGGCACCGGGGGAAGGGGATGCTATTGCTTCTCTGCGCGTGCGCGGCTCCGCGGCCAATGGGCGGGCTGCGTGCTCGCGGTCTGGGCCAATGGCGGCGCGCCTCAGTGCCGCGCGCCGTTGTTAAGGGCAGCGGCGGGCGGAGGCCCCTTAGCAACGGCGGGGCCGCGATGGAGGCAGCGGCGCGGCCGGGCGGTCCCGCCACCCACAGGTGAGGGGGGCCAGGGCTGCCTCGCATGGCAACACTCAGAGGCAGCGCCCGGTGCCGGGGTGAGCGGCCACAGCAGGGCCAAGGCGGGCGGAGCCGCACGGCGGCCACGCGGGTCGGCGCTGCCTGGGTAACACCCGTGTCCCGCTTCGGGCGCCGCCGTGCTGCTGCTTTGTGTGTTGTTGTGTTTTATGTGCTTCACTCTTCAACTTTGTCTGTTGTATGTCTTCTAAATAGTTGTACATTAAACCGGTTTTGTGGGGTCTCGCTCCACTCTTCGTTTCTGGGCACTGCTGTGAAGGGTTTTCGCGGTGGTATTGAGCCGTTCTGTCCCTCGTGAAGCTCTTGGGCTACGTGGTGACATAATCCGTGTGCCTTTGCAAGGGAAAAAGGAGCAATAACTGAAAGGAATTTAGCTGATGTAATATGAAAAACAGCTGTGAACTGTGGAGAAGAGATTTTGGAAAGAGTTTGTGCCTGTGGCACTTGACTAGCTCAAAACCGAAATTATCTGAAATGCAAGGTGAGGATACAGGCAGGCACTGAAAACGGGTTTTGACAGAATCACTGTGATTGTAAAAAACACAGGAAAACCTGTTTCTTGTGCCTGTGGTGTTTGGATGGGGAGAAGTGAAGCAAGGAAAGAGAGAAACCTACACTTCCAACTGAGAGAAACCAACTACTTCCAATAGTGGAATTATAAGGAGCATGATGTAGAAGAGAAACAGTATTTATTTAATACATTCATTATTAGATTTTGTAATTTTAGTTGAGAGCAAAAAGCAGCAAAAGAGAAAAGGTCCTTTAACTGCCTGGGTTCCCCAAATATGCTATGAAACAGTAGAAGATTACTTCTTTATGCAGACTTTAAAGGCTGAGAGTTGTGTACCAGTTCTGGAAAGAATTTTTGAAAAACTGATGACCGGATATATGTAAGTTTTCTTGCATAGATATTAGATGTTAAAGCTAAGAGTTTAACCTACAGGAAATAATGCTGCTTGTCTGATACCAATTCTACTGGTATAATTTCTTTCTGCTAAGAAACTTGTTTTGTGTACTTTTATGGGTGCCCCACGGAAACAGCATAGCAATATTGGCAGTTCACGTGACAGCTGCTTCCCTCTCACCACAGTTGATTAAACAAGCAATCCATTTTTTAACTTTCTTAGTCTGTATTCTTAGGAAGGATCTTCTATTTCTGAGATGAAAAAATTATCCCTAAATCACTTACCTAGTCACTGGAACTCTTGTTTGCTGAAATAATTGTCAGTTTTCCAAACAGTGCGTTTTATAGGAAAAGTAAATGTGGTATGCAATAAATGGCAGTTCATAGCAACAAAGATACTGCATGGAAAGCCTAAAAAGGCTGTATATGAAAAATGATTGGCAGCATTTTTTCTTTTTTTGCCTTTCCCCACCCTCCCCCCAGATGTGGAATACCTTTACTATTGGGCAATATGTAAAATATGTATAAAGATATCAAAAATATTTTATTTCTGGTGGATAGAGGTGAAGGATACAAGCCAAAATAAATGCATATGTTTTTGTAAATTTGCCGTGGGATACATGATGATGGATAAAGAGGAAAGATCTTGGATTAGGTCATCTCTGAAGCCCTGTGTTAATCTGTCGTCTATTTGAGGTGGCTGCAACTGAAATTGCTCAAGTTCATTTTATTTTGGAGTTTGATTTACTTTCAGGGAGACATGGCACAACCATTCTAATACTTTAGGAGATTATAAAATTGCTGGTGCTATTTCATAGTTTTGGTAAGTGCTATACCTTCTCTCTTCCTTTGGGAAAGTCCATTTTGAGACTTAACATGAAATTACTAATGTTGAATACAGTAGAAACATTCAGATAAAAGTAATTCTAAATCATTCTAAGCTTTTAAAATATTGAGAAGGAAACTTGGATCTTATGATAGTATGTATTTTAGAATCTTGGGGAATACTGGACCTCACCTTTTTGCACGCTAATTACACCATATATGAGAATACTTAAAGCTTCCCACGTGCTGCATTCCCTTTGTACTTCAACTTCTGACTTGCAGATGCCACATAAAAAGAACATAATTTTCAGGATGCAAAAACCTTGACTGAGTCTACAGAGACTACAAAACTGGATGTGAGCTATAGAGGTCCTGCAGTCATTTGGATCCTTCCTTGGGGTCTAGATATGCATGAGTTAGTGGCTTTCAGTTTGTGAAATCAGGAACTCCGGGATACTTTCTCAGTGTCTTCAAAAGTTAATGAATAAAAGGAGTCTGTTGTCAATAAGCTCAATTTTCAAAATATTGTGAGTCTCAAGACGGTGAAAGGTTCAAAACTAGTTTCAAAAATAGTACTGATGTCCAGCCAAAAGCCCTTTTCATATTTGAAAAATTTTAGTGTAGTTGAGATTGACAGGAATCTCAGAGGCTGCTGGGCTTGAATGTTTTGTATAGATGCACCATGATTATAATTTTGAGAAAAAAGTACGAAATACTTAGCTAATCTTTTTGGCTATACTTGTAATGCTGAGAAGACAGAGAAGTTTAATATTGCTTTTAAAAGCTGATTGTCATCTCTGTTAGTCCTTGGGTGTTTTTATTTGGCCACCAGTGAGCTTCTTCAAATTAACAAGCATTGTTTTGTAGGACTTGTAATTCTGCAAATCTTATCCTTAGATAAAAGAGAATTGGCTTAATATCCTGTTTACTTTACCCTTTTCAACTCTAAAGATTATAATCAAGAAATCTACCCCAAGTGAGATAAATCCATAAATATTTTATAAATGTGGTTTATATTTACTCGTAGGAGTACAGATTCAACAGAAAAGAAAACCTTTTGCAGTTTTATGCTGCTGGTGTTAGTGTGAATGAAGAAGGAATCGTCTCACTTCCTACCACGGAGACAGCAGCATCAAGAGAGAAAATGTAGCAACAATATGTGGCAGAAATTTCCAAATACAATTTGAAATTCACTTGGTAACTGCAATTGCAAAGGGGTGTCTTAAAGTTGAACCTTGTTTGAATTGTCTCTTCAGTTTCTAATAAGTTCTTCTCTCATCTCTTATCACTTAGATTTTGAGTTACTGATGACCCATTTTTTATAGAGAACCATTATTTTTATCTTCTGCTTTTTTAGACACGGTTGGTGTGGCATCTGTAGGAGGGACAAATGCACTGATTTAACATAGTTTTCACACATGCAAAGTCATAATTTTTATGCAACCAGACTTGCACTGGGATAGCTCCAGACTTGTGTTTTGTCACTGAGGCACAGTTAAGTGATCTCCAAAATAAAACTGTTGATTGTATTGTAGTTGGGTCATGGGATGAATTCTCTTCTAAGTGGATTTGCTGATGTGCTTAGAGAAGTTGTTGTAGACTACCCCAAGAACATTTACACTTACTCCTAGAGTTCTTTAAAACATATAATCTCTGGGATGTTTGAACTCTTAGCTGCCTGTATTATTGTTATAGAAGTCTGTGATGGCTTTTGCACTCCTTTCTGCCCTTACATTCTTATGTGAAATCTGAGGCAAAAAAAAAAAAGAACAATAACCTAAATCTAGCAGTGGTATCTTGCTGAGTCACACAGTTTGAGATGGAAATTACACTGCACTGTTTCTACCTCTTTAATGGCTTCCCTTTTCAATCTTTTAAAAATGTGAAAAATATTGAACTAGGAATAGAAGCCCACAATCAGTTCTAGGGTGTCTGTTCAGAAAATTTCACTTTCTTTCCCCCGTTTTTAATTTGAAAGACTATAAACAAGTGCAGTTTGTGGTGTGAAGTGTGATGCAAATTATTTTCAGGGAACTTTGAGTTTTGTTACCTGGTCTGGGTTAAGCATACCACGTGCCATTTAACTGCTGGCTTTGTTGCTAGGATAGAATAGAGACTGCTCTACATTTCACTGGTTTCATGTTGTAATGAGGTACAACATCAACAAAAGTGACAGTCAGGGTTTAATAATTTACAAACAGAAGATTATAAGAGTCAGTATTCTAAGCCCCTGTGAATCTTGCTTTGCCTTTTCCTTGGGCAGAGCTATATCTGTAAGTGAAATGACCATGGGGATTTGGAGCATGTAGTTGAGAGGACATTAGAAAGCTGGTGTTCTGCTTGTGGAATAAATGTTTCTTTTCTTTAGGGAAAACCTTAGTTTCATTAAGCTCACCTGAATAAACATGATTTTGGAAGCATAATGCTCTGCATTTGTAGGGGTGGTTGAGCTGAAAAGTCCTTACTCAAGGATTCATCAGCTATGAGCTCTTGAAGGAATGTGCCAGGCAGGAGATTCCTTGTCTCCCTTTTCTTGAAAGTATTTAATAAAATGCCAGTTGAAAACCCCTGTTTGGCTACACACTTCAAGATAAGTTTATGTGAACATTCTTATGGTTGTCTTTGTGCCACCTTCCCAGCGTCGGTGATGGGTTTAATGGTTAATGGCTTGTGTGGATTTCTGGCTTCTCTTGGCCTTCCTTCCGGGAAAAGAATACTCCTTTCACTTTAGGTTTGGAGAAACAAATTACTTGAGACTTTCAGCTAAGGAATACAAAAATCTCCTTTCTGTTATCATAG